GGGTGACCTACTTTCGACGGACGCGCGCAACGGACGTCCGCCAAGTTGGGGAATGGGGGCGGTGAACGCGCCGTCAACTATAAACGGAACTCTTTCTACTCTTGCACTCCTATTACATCTTATAATCAATGATGAGCATAGGGCATTTGGTTTATCCAGGGCATTGTAAGAAAGACAGAAAAAAGTGTTTAACTTGGAAGAAATTAGTTGGACAAACAGCCAAAAATATATTAGCCATGGTTGCTGGAAGCATAATCATACTGGTCTTAGAAAATTCCAGATTCAAATGTTTAGCGATTAAAGATTGAATTTATACCTTCTTGTATCAGAAATTAAGTGCACATTCCTTGGGACTGTCGGTGACGCCACTCGTGCAAACAGTTGGACATTTGGAATGGATACTAAAAACCAGTGAATTCGCTCATCTACGCGAGAACACCACTTTTCCTATGGTTCGTTAACAATATTACATTTGTTAATGACATTTACATTACTCATTGCTTTCCTTCATAAAAAAAGTGCAAGGAAGTCAAGAAGGTTTGAAAAAAGCAACGAGTTATTTGATCGAGTAATATCCCATGACCAACCTCCAGGTTGGCAATACAACCCTCATTTCGGCAAAACTGGCTGATAGGGAGATTTGAGTATTTTTTCCCAGTCAAAAAAGAGGGTTTAATTAACTGGACTGCAAATCGCAGATAATGTTTAGATCTAAGGTGGTAGCGTCGAGGATAAGGTATAGGAGTATTGCTGGTCGAGATACTAAACTGTTTTAATAGTAAATGCACATAGTATACTCGATGGTAATACTAGTAGTAAGAGCGGTGGAAATACTTGTGCATAATATAAATAATACAGTATGTCATGGAAAATAACGTTATTCACTCTGAAAGCAATGAGGTAGGTAAACAAGTAAGGTGACCTGAAGAAAATAGGTAGTAAGTAAGCGTTGTTGGACGAATCTCACCAACGACCTCTGATTGATTGGGTGATGAGCGGCCACTAAGTTTGATCTGGGTCACGGCTCCCAAGGTTTAATTGGATTGGCCAAATTTTAAACACACATACTAATTGTTCACATCACTTTTATTACTTTTCCTACAATACTGGTAAATTACTTGTGGAAGTATAAAATATTTATATTTAGTCAATACTATTCACACTACATGATACTACTTTGCTCAATAATCTATAGTCATCCAGCCGAATCGCCCAACTCATGTCGGGCTCTTCTCTTTTGTGTTAGAAGTCACCCACCTCCTGCAACCTTTGAAATCTGGCCGCTCTGGGCGAAGAAAACAGGAAAACAACAACAGACTTGGCTCCCTGTGGGTGGAATCCAGTCCTGGCTCCTACCAAAAGCATTCCCATGCTGCTGCCCGCCCACATCACTATCAAACTTGAAGGTCTCCGGCTGACGATATCAATTTTGCGCACGGTCCACCCCGTTTGGGCGGAGTTCAACCCTTTTACCCACCAACGCACTCGCAGCACTCATACTGCAGTCCAAACGCGCACCAAATTTGGAAAGGATCCGAATAAAAGTTCCTCGCACTCCCCTCTCCCCGTAGGATGATCGAGCCCTAGCGCCTGCCAACGTGTTCCCATCCTGCCTCTTGTACAATTACTAAATTTGAACGCTCTGAGTCCATGAGAACAGTAGTTATGAGTTTCCTGTCTGGCTGACACACACACCCGCACACACACAAAAACACATACACCCACATAAAGGCACGCGGAAAAACGCACAGACATCCTCAAGGGGTTTTACGTTGTAGGATAATGTCCTTGACGAAAATCTCAACTGCTTTATT